CAACATTGAGTTTTGGTTTTCCGTCAACACACCCTGGAAGAGTTGACCAGGGGATAGGATTTGGTCTTTGGTTTCCATGGGAAAGGTGGAACCTTGCACAGAAAGACAAACTGAACCATGTGACTGAAAGTTCAAAAAGCGCCAGATGTGTTGAGTGACAAACACTTATATTCTCTGGCTGCAGTGAGGTTGTATAAAAAAATAAAAAATTTAAAAAAACATCCAGTCTAGTCATTACGTCTTCACCCAGATCTTACCCTGTTTCTTACGCATGACTCGTTGGCTCGTTTTCCATACACCACATTTTCCACTGGCCTTCAACCTCTGCTTGCCATTACGCTAATCTTAGAAATGTCATCGAGTGTGAACATTACGTTGTGCTATGCGCTTTTACGTTTTCTCTGGCTCCTGGAAAAACAAGCGTATGAAGGCTAGAGCTTACATGATGACAGAGCCTGTCCTCACTTTAGAGGTTTTTTTTTTAAGAGTATGTCATACACCCACTCTTTTATAACGATAACTTTCATTGTTATCTGTTGTGCTGTGTAAATCCAAATCTATCATTCTTTTACTTTGCACTCTCTCAAACACTTTGTCGTACATGAAAGCCCCATAACACAAACTGAGAGCATTTTTCGACCAAAGTTTTTGCCCTGGGCCAAATGTTGATCTGCAGCGCATCTGGGGTTTGCTGTGACGCAAGCCAGAATCAGAGAGTCGGAAAGGCATTTGATTCATTAGAAGAAGTATTTTAAATCAGCCATAAGAGAGAGGATTGATTATTAGCAGAATGTCATTAGTACAGTGAGGTCACGCACAAAGGCGTCTTCTGTCCTTCCTGGATGGGGGACAAAGGTCCACAGCGGGAACTTAGGTTCTGGTCTGAGCTTCTGGCAGAAGCGTAACCAGACCCCACCTCCTCTGGAGAGCAGCTCCCATCCTGGGACTCCTCTCTCTGCAGGCATCTGATGGTCGTGGGCTGGATGGTGTCCTCCACCGATGACATCCAACTTAGCTCCTTTTCCTGCTCTCCTCCGCAGTCTTCATCTTCCTCCTGCTCCTCATCCTCCTCTTCCATACCAGGGACACGGTGGAGCTTAGCTCGGCTGGTTTCCAGCGGTTGCCCTGGGGGAAGTGCATCCTCCAGATTCAGGCTCTGGGCACATCTGTGGAGAGGGACCTTGACCTGCCCAGCTTCCTGCCCTGGATACGCAGGATCTGTCTGTGTGGACTTCTCCAATGTGAGTGTGGCTCTGTGCTCTGTGGATGTCAGTCTTCCAATGTGGCCATTGGGAGTAGTCACAATACTTTCTGACAGTTGGCTGGACATAGTTCAAAGATTGAGATCAAGACACAACAGTCACATAGGGACGGACATATCAACCAAACATTTTCACCAGAGCTCTACGCCTCTGTAAAGTATGGTTTTTCTTTAAGGAAAATGAATGATGACTACATCCATGACTGGATCTATGAATTCACGGCACTTAGTGCGTTCATCATACCTGGGGTTAATAGAATGGTGGATCCCATCGACAGCTGAACTGGAGGACAGTTTCTTGCTGCTGGTGCAACCATCAAAACAGCACACTTGGTTTAGCACCCGTGCGGACGCTGGGTTCACTGAGTGGCAATTAAACATTTGTTACATAGTACAGAATGGTTCATTTTTTCAAAAATGATATTATATTGCAACTTAACCAGTAACAGACAGGCTAATGCCTAACAGGTAGGCTTTACAGGGAGACTTAGGATAAATAAGAACATGGGTGAGTACAGTTTATTGCAATTAATTATTAAATGATCTTTAAATAACATCAAGATATAAAAAGAAAGATTGGCCTTATTCATAAAAAAAAATATCAAACAGCTTTTTGAGTCCAGAAACTAAAGTTTGTATATATATATATATATATATATATATATATACACATACACACATATATATACATACATACATATATATACATATATACACATACATATATACAAATAAATAAATAAATAAATATTGATTTATATATATACATATATACATATACTGTATATATTGAAATACATGTACATATATACAAATATATAAATAAAAAATATTTATTTATATATATACACATACATATATATACATATATACACATATACTGTATATATTGAAATACATGTACATATTGAAATATATTACGTGCAAAATGTTTCATGAAGATAATTAGACTAAAATCATATTTCTCTCCTGAAGTATTTCTCACCTAAAATGAGTTGCTGCGTCAGTACTGGCAGGAGCTGATCGTGGAGTTGGAGTCTGCGTAGGGCATCGGCTAATGAGGATTTCAGCAGCGTGATTTCGTCTTCCTGCGCCTGCAGGCGCACCTCCATTATGGACATTTTGTCCGGGAACTCTGCACTGCTGTCAGCAGAGACATCATCTGCAACACACAGCAAGAGCCAATGAGATAACTTTAGAAAACCTGACTTTACTCGTTTAAAACTAAACGTGAAGAATTATAAGATTGGCCGAGTACCCGCTAAAAAAAATGTCCTAATGTTATAGGTCTGATTATTGGAGAGAGTCTGTCAATAAATAACATCCATCCATCCATTTTCATCCAATTATCCGTTACCGGGTTGCGGGGTGAGCAGCCGCCACCCAAATCACACTGCACCGTACCAACCCTTCCTGCAGGTGGTGAGTCCACTGGAAGGTACCAACCGCCCTAACTGGGATTCAAACCCTGGGGTTCCACACCAATGACAGAGACATTGCCTCTGGACCAAAGCGCCATGCAATAAATAACATTTTTATTTAAATTTTGATATAACCTTCATCACACAAAAAAACAATATTACAACATAACCCAAAAACAATTCATCCTGGTGGTTGTAAAAAAAAAAAAGACAGCACAAGCAAAGACAGCTAAGGTAAGAGAGGAGCCGCAGGAGGAGGAGGTAGCAGACGCTGAGGACAGTAACAAATGTGCAGCAAGTCTGTGACCTCTGCTTCACGCAGCAACTTGATGAATCTCAACCAACAAAAGTTCAAACAAGGAACGATTTACGACCAAATAATACAACGCGGAAAAAAGGAAAAGTAATAAAACCACATCGGCACCTGCCTCAATGTACACATATTCTATAGTACCACAGCAGTAATACCAGCAATTACTGCGTATGTTTCAGTGTCCTTGCATAGATCCGTTACTGGGTCACGGGGGCAGCAGTCTCCATGACCACCACCCAAATCACACTGCACCGTACCAACCCCCCTAACCCTTCCTGCAGGTGGTGAGTCCACTGGAAGGTACCAACCGCCCTAACTGGGATTCAAACCCTGGGGTTCCACACCAATGACAGAGACATTGCCTCTGGACCAAAGCGCCATGCAATAAATAACATTTTTATTTAAATTTTGATATAACCTTCATCACACAAAAAAACAATATTACAACATAACCCAAAAACAATTCATCCTGGTGGTTGTAAAAAAAAAAAAGACAGCACAAGCAAAGACAGCTAAGGTAAGAGAGGAGCCGCAGGAGGAGGAGGTAGCAGACGCTGAGGACAGTAACAAATGTGCAGCAAGTCTGTGACCTCTGCTTCACGCAGCAACTTGATGAATCTCAACCAACAAAAGTTCAAACAAGGAACGATTTACGACCAAATAATACAACGCGGAAAAAAGGAAAAGTAATAAAACCACATCGGCACCTGCCTCAATGTACACATATTCTATAGTACCACAGCAGTAATACCAGCAATTACTGCGTATGTTTCAGTGTCCTTGCATAGTGTTACTGACTACAATGTATTAAATATAGTTGCAAACATGTATGCCATATGTGTATTCAACATCATATACATCATATAGGTACTTAGTCATGATATCTGCTAATTGAATCTTTGAATAATTATTACTACAGTTTTTTTGTTTTTGTTTTTGAGACATTCTGGAAGTGTACTACATAGCTGATTTTATTTGCCTGTGTTTACTTTTTTTTCACAATATATGAATATCATACCTTAAGTTATTTTAGGGGAAAGTTCAACGATAAGTTACATAAAGAATGAGAAGAACCGGAAATTGTTCCAGGCGGAACCTGTTTTAATTTACTTAGCTATATCTGGCTGAAAAAAAAAACTGTGTGGGGAAAAAACTGTCCCTTGGGGACAGAAATGTTTTCATGCCACCCGTGCTCCTCCCGACCCACACCCCCTTGAATTCAAATATTATCAAGAACCTGATAACATGTATATTTTTTTTATCCGTACAATCCACTGTATGAGTTGCTGCCACCTAGTGACTGAACGCTCGTTATCATTCATGCATTACAGCAGTGGTCCACTTTACAGGGCAATGAATGGCCAAGATTCTTTTGATGCATCAACTCCTTGCATGTGTTGGTAATGATTAGCTCAGCTGCCTATAAAATTCTGAGGAACTGCTTTTGTTTATTTAGTCATGCGCAGCTAAGACTTCCTCAGATACCATTTGTCTCTGTCAAAGTCATTTTTCCGCAACGTTAAGTAGAACAACCTACAATTACTCTGTAGTGGTGATTAAAGTTTAAGGTTCACTCACGCTAGGGCAGTTGTACCGCGCCCAAGCACAATTGTCCCCTAGAGCGGAGATCCTGGTAAGGGCAAATGCTCAATGCCCGGACGCAGGGGGTACAGCATGATTAGAGGAGGTGGACCAAAGAACATGGAACATGGTGTAATACTTGCACACACGCACGATTAAGTACACACATGGTGTAATACTTGCACACACGCACGGTTAAGTACACATCGTGCTGCCTCCTCCATTTCCAAAGAACTCAAAACCCAAGTTAAGAAAAATATGTGTCCATAAATGATTTGCCAGTTGACATATATGTCAATTAGCTTTGAATCCAGGACAAAGGACTTCTATCTTATTAGGATTTCACACACTACAAATACTGTTTGAATTTGGATCTACATGCTAAGGTACAAAACCGACTCGTCAGAATTTGTATTGCTAACATTCTAAAAAATTTCACAAAAAAATGCACATATGGAAACAATTTACAGGTTAAATGAGATCTCAGGCCCAAAGCACTCTGGAGCTGAATTTCTCTCACCACAGCTGTGAAAATCAGATATGCTCCATTTGAAGACAACTAGAACAAGAAAAAAAAAAAAAAACTGCCAACACTGAGAGTATACCTCTCAGGTCAGTTTTCTACCGACAGTACTCTGATGTTTAGCATTTGTCTTAGAGCAAGGTAAAGTGAGTTCTTTGCTTTAACAAGACCTTTAAAAAGGACTGCATAATTTGAGAGAAATGTGTGGTTGCGAACACTGCGATCAAAATTGTGATATTACAATCATGGTATTATCAGTCAACAGAGACAGACAACCGTGGTTCTAAAGTGAGTGTTTCTAAACCAAAAGACTCGATTGAAAACCTTAACTATTAACAGTGGTGTCTAATCAAATAAACTACACTATAAACTATAAAGTAATAAAATATCAGCCAACCGATATTATCGGGCCGATATTGGCATATTATGTAATATCTGTAAGAATCGTTTTTCCTCCGATAACGAAAACCCCATAACGCAATGCCTGGGTTTCGCCAAATGATGTGTGCCCTACAAATAGTTTTGGGGATAAACGGCTGTATTACAGCGATGGTCACTAGATGGAAGCATTGCAGCTCATTTAATTAATCTCATACTCATACAGTGGTTTGTACCGATAAATAAATACATTTTACCAGGTCTATATCAGCATCGGTTGATATCGGAATCAGAATCGGAAAGTTTTAGACAAAGTTTTGTCGGCTTATTGGATAGTGGCAAAAAGTTAATATGGGACATCCCTAATCGAAACACATCTTGACAGGTATCTGGGATAACATTACAAAAAGCAATGCAAAAAAAAAACTACCACAGGACAACTCCTACAAATTAGCTGGGATTGGATCCAGCAATACAGCTATAAATCTACAGTCTTGTTCTAAAGAAAAGTGCACAAGTTACAAGACGTTTTACTGTAACTCTCAGCACTGAAAACCTGCTGAGAACAAGGAAAAATAAACAATGCGTAAACCGTTTGGCTCCAGATCCTTACGCTTTGTAACAGCGTTACTCATGTTGGTACCTGAACAGTGCCAGCACTCGTGAAATGAGCCAAGTTAATAAAAACAAAAGCAAGCAGAGGTCATGTGCATGTTGCAACGTGATAGCAAAAACAATGAGTCACACCGACTTTTATTACATTTATTACAACAACATTACTGAAAGAGAAGTTTCATCATCAGTGCTAACGCAGAAGATCCACCACGGAAGACAAGTTCCTCCTACTGCTATGTATGTACATTTATCCATTTGTTGTTTTGTTGTTTGTTTGTTTTTTGTGTGTTTAAAAAGTACATTGAGTAAGACATTATTAGTGATACAAAACAACATTTATGCATCGAATAGACACTTTTATCTACAGCGACTTACAAGAGGAGGATTAACAATCGAGCATGTAGTTCCTCTGGGAATTGAACCCAGGACTCCCTGCCCTCTCCCTCGGAGGCAGGTGTGCTAACCAGTACGCTACACTAAAGGAAGCACAATACTTTTTTTATGTCAATATTTTCTTTATAGATATCTTTATAGATTGTGGTACTTTATGAAACAAACCCTGTTTTCCCCACAGTGTGCGCAAATACCACTTTGATCAAGATCAGCGGTTGGTGGAATTGTTGGATGTGCAGTGGTTTCATTCTGACCATGCCGTTACAATTCGAGCCAAATTTATTCTGATTAATAGTCACAGATTAAAGTCGTTATGGTGGTCATTTTGACTGCTGTAATTTATACATATATACATACATATATATATACATACATACATATATATATACATATATATATACACATATATATACATATATACACATATATACATATATACACATATATACATACATATATATGTATATATATATATATATATATATACATATATACATATATATACATATACATATATATATATATACCCATATATATATATGTATATATATATATATATATATATATATATACACACACATTTAATCCCTAAGTAGCATTTAGGTATTTTTAAACACACCATTTGTATAACTGTAATATAAGCCACGCCTTTACTTCTGTGACACACGGTAGTCCCATTTCACCAGAGGACTGCTATTTCTCAGGTCTACACAGTGACAGTGACTGACTAAGTGGAGACCATTTCTGTCAGGCAAGTGTAAAGTTAAATAGGTCTAATGACGCTCTGGGCCACTTTAAAGGGCAACAGAAGGTCGGCGGGTATTTTATGAAACATCCACACCAATGAGCTCGTTCTAAACGTGTTCGGAAATAGAATATATTTCAGGTCTGTGGACACAAACCCATTGGTATCTGTGACACTGAGTCCTTTCCCAACC